CTGGTCCATCGCTCACTGGGGAGGGAAAGTAACAGCAGAAGATGCTGAGAGATGTTAAATGCATTTGTGCTTCAAGCCTCGCTAGAAAGAACCAGAAGAGCCACCTCATTACATAGAAAAGGAGCAGCAGAAGGATTTGGGTCCAGTCCAGAAAAGAGCTGGTTCCTGAGGTGGCTTTACCCAGCTCTTCAGGTACTCTGAGATGACTGTTTTCAGGTTCACCCAATTCAAAAGCATCTCCTTCCCTCACCTGGTTGCAGGTTTCCTCCTTTCCCGGGAGGAACAGCCCAACATGTGTTTTCCAGCAGGAGCTGGTCCATTGCAGGAGTTTCCCACTTCACCCTGCTCCTCCCTCCCACCACTTGTCCTGAGCCATTTCCTTCCCCCTGGCCTCTGAGTACCATTAGGTGAGAGCTGAGGAGATGGAATGTTCTGGAGTGTTGAAACCAGAATTGCAAAGAAATAAATGAACAATTATTGCTTAATAAATTATATTCAATAAATGAGGTCTCTTGACAGCCCTTTTCTGGTTAGGAACAACTTCAAACCATGGCACTTGCTACGACACAGGAACCAGTCCTACCTGTGACCTGATCTTCAGTGCAGGTCCGAGTTTCAGCCCCATGTTGTTCAGTAAGTGCTCTTCCGTCAGGAGGGGCAGGGTCTCCCCATCAATAGCCTGCTCTCGGAATACCTGGAAGCAACCAGAACACAGATCCAGGCTTAGGAATGCCACTGATGTGTCCGATGCTCGTGTCTGGCCCTTGCACATGAAGGTGCTGTGGAGAAGGTTGGTATTGCTACATGAGAGGTAGGAACACGCTTGTATCCACAGCCAGGAGCCAGCGAGTGAAAGGAGACACGTGTGGGAATGGGAAGTGGGGCTGGTTGGGCCAGTTTAGATAAAGCAATACTTTTATTTCACTATATTTTTATGGTATGATGGGGCAGGAAGTATCATCCCCAGGTTTAGGCACCTTTCTTTTCCCCAGCACTAACAGTGACATGGACTAATAAACATCCCAGTGCCGCTGTAGTGGCTGAGGTAGCCCAGTGGTACCACTGAACATGGTGTGATTCTGCATGCTCTTAACACACTGACTGTCTCTTACCCCTCTCCTGCTTCATGGAGTGAAGCAGACGCTGGTGATGTGCAAACCTGTACTCAAAGCAACGACAGCACGGCTGGATAACCCCATAAACAGCAGTTTCCTGTGCCCACATTCCAGCCATGCAGAACTGCACCATCTTAACACACTCAAAGACAGGAAAAAGCCCACTTTGTTTTGCCTCCGTTTCCAATGACGGGCTCATGCAAGAGTTTTCCACCTACCAGGGACTGTGTAATAGAGGTTAAGGTCTGGCTCTTGCTCCATTCTTCATGCAGAGAGCAGAGGAACACACCAGCCTCCCCAGAGCATTCACTCTGCATGTACGGGCTGGGTACTTGACGAGTAAACTGCCACCACTGTGTAAGCCAGGCAGCAGGTCCCCTCAGCGGGGGAGATGGCAGCCAGAGGCCTGGTTTTCCCAGCTAAACCCACCTCCAGAGTGGATGTTCACAGCCCAGCTCATACTGGATGTTCCCCGAAATGCCCTGTGTGGGGCAATGCCTTGGGCACGGTGCAAGGGACAGGGTTCAATTCACTCTAATGGCTTCTTTGTCAGCAGCAGCCCGTGGCCATCCCTCTGGAGGGTGGCACCGGCTGTTAGAGCCGAGGCAGCTGAGCTGCTGCAAGTGGGTTTGATCGCTGGGCTCCAGCATAAAGCTGCTCAGGACTGCAGCACGTGGTGCTGCTCTCTGCCCTAGCAGCACTTACTGTACCCATTTACCTTCCTCCCTCTGCAGCCAACGTGGGCTGGGAGCCAAAAGCCTCCCTTTGCACACACTGAAACTCTCCACAAGAAGCCTTGTAACTTGAGGAAATCATCCCCTCGAGTGTCCCACGGGGCCTGATCCACTGCAGGGACAAAGCTGAGCGCTGCCGAGGGCTGAAATGAGGCACAACCACTTGTTTTTGCTGCAGTTCCTTGTCTGTCTGAACCGTGTCTCGATGCACAGCACACACCCAGCCTCTTGCTGGTTTTGCTGGCAGGAACAGCCTGCAGAGCAGTGCCAGACCTCCCCGGCACTGTGGTTTTGGAGAGGAGAACACGGGCAGCTTGGAGCCGGGTCACCCTCAACACTGGCATTTTCACATAGTAAAAACCTGCTACACACATAACCATAGGGCATAAAAACATCATCCCTTCAGCCCCCAAAAAAAAACCCCCCATGTAAGGCAGCGCGGCCGCGACAGGAGCCTGGTTACAGCAGCTCCCACTATCATCAAACATGGTGTGCAAAGCACTGAGATTGCTGAACCTTTGTCTCAGCAAGGTATTGATTTCTTCCCCACCACTCTACCAGGAGCTGGCAATGGAGGTGGAAATGGATGAGCCTCCTGCAAGGTGGCTCCAGTAAACAGAGAAGCCTAATAAATAGGGAAGCTTCCAGGCAACTCTTGATCTTCATTCCCCAGCGCAGGAATGCAGACAAAGTGCAATGCCAGTGGTGCAGGAGCACACTGAGGTGGGGTAGCAGAGAACGGGAGCAGATGTGTGGTTTGTATGTGTGTGGTTTGGTTTCAGAGCCTTCTGCTTGAGCTTGCTTCTACACCTTTATCATCCTCGCTGAACCCCGCTCCACACACACAGACCTGCTGCTTCTCACTCCCATCGACACCCATCCATCCACCATCCTTTTCAACCAGTGTCCCTTCCCTTCCTTCCCCACAGTCGGAATCTGCCCCTTCTCTCTCCCACACACACAGAGTCACCCTGATGCACTCCCAAGCACAACCCAAATCTCTGTTGTTCCTCTTGGGGAATGTCACATGTACCCATCTCTAATAAGCATTTGCTTTCCTAAGTGCTGCCTCTCACGTGCATGCACTTTGTTCCACAGAAGCACTGGGTTTACAGGTGGTTTTAACAAAGAACTCCTGCCTAAGAGCTCATCTCAGTCTCCCCTCTGTCAGTTTAGACCCATTCCTTTTGTCCTGTCACTACATGCCCTTGTAAAATGCATGGAAGCAGGATGCTGAGCTCTTAGAATGGCTGGGGCAAGCGTTCAGCAACGACCAGCCCTTGTCCCTACTCCATCCCCTCCCAGTACACTCGCTTTACTGCCACCCGTCCGCAAGGTCCATCACACACCACCTCAGGATCTTCACTGGCAGCAAGCAGCTCTTTAACAGTGCACTAGGAAAGTGGCTCTGACACAGACCTTCTCCTAGGTGGGACAGTGCAAGGAAAGCAGGCAGAGACAGCAGGGAGAGAGCAAGGGCTTGAAGGGAGGATGTTCCTCCTGAGGCTGTGAAGAGCTTTACCTGAGTGTACTCGGTGCAGCCAGACAAGTTGGACACAAAGCTGCACACATCCTCCACCGTCCATTTGCTGATGTCTTCCAGCGCGGGGCTTTCCTCACCATCCAGAAACAGACCTCCCATGGTGCCTGGATTGTTTGGAGTCAGGGGGGGTAGGAAGGAGGGGAGGAGAAAGAAACATAAACCATTCAAATCCCACCCGGACAACAACCCGCCTGCCATGTGAATATGTTTCTCTAGCCACACATTCATCTTTAATGACCTGTCAATTAAAGCACTGGGCAGGGTCAATTCATAGGCCTCTTCCTCCTGGAGGTCCCCAGCTTGGGAAAGGAGGGGGGTAAGGGAAAGGAAAAAAAAGCCCTGGCTAATGCATTTCATGTGTTTAATGTTCTTCAGCTGTGGGGAAGGAACAGGGGGAAGGGAGAGGAGAGAAACAACCCTCAAGGAGCGTTTCTCCACACGCACCACGAAGCAGAAAGCTCTGCCTGCCCCGTGGGCTGCCTCCCCCAGCCCTTCTCCCGGCGACGTGCTCCGCATGGGAACGGGCCCCGGCGCCTCTCCCCGGTGGCCACGGCCTTGCCGGAGCCTCAATCACCAGAGGACAGCTCGCTCTTTCCAAAGGCTCATTTCCAGTCCACCCCAGCCTGAAGCATCCATCGGATCCGCTGCCTCCAGGTGATGGGTGACGGGATGACCCCCGCCAGCCCCTGGGACACCCCGGAGACAGCCCAGCTCGGCTCCAGCCCGTATGTCAATGCTCTGCAACGCAACAGCAGTTCAGGTCCCAGCCCTGTCAGCACAGACAGGGGTGATGGGTTCCAAAGAGGGGGAAGAGGGTCCCCCAGCCCTCTATCCGCAGTGCCTGACAGCACGGGATGGAGCTGAGAGAGGAGCCATAGGAGAGGCACAGAGAACACGAAACCCCAGGCAGGTAACTCCTATTTACTGCAGTGTGTGACAGGGAAAATGCAGCAACAAGTGATGAAGAAACCGAGTTCTAGAAAACACCACTTCGTGGGGGAGGAATGAAAGGTGGTGGTAACCTGCGGAACTCACCACTGCCTGGTATCATTCAGAGCAGGGGATCAAGAGGACGTTCACAGAGATGTGAACATCCATGATTACAGTGGATAGAAAAAGTTTATGAGGGGTATAAACTGTTGTGCTTCGGGGCATGAAGCAAGAGATTGGCATAGAAAGTACTTCTCCCAGGGGTCTATCAGGCCAACATTATCTGTCCTGTAGGCTTAAGGTCTGACCATGCTGCGACTCCACTCCTTGGCTCCTGTCCACAGCAGGTGGGATATCAGATACAGGCTTCCCAAGTAGTGACAAGATAAAGTGGGATGCAATGAAATCCTGGTGGGAAGCACAAGCCCAGAGAACAAGCGGCGGGTTCCCTGGGGAATGCACCAGGGCAGAGGGAAGAGGCATGGAAAGAGCGAACAGCAAAGCCACGCGCCGAGTCTCCACTTGGCAAAGCCACCAGCACGTTCCAAGGGAACAGGAAAAGGACAGGATTTACACAGGAAGTTATCATGCCAGTAAGATGCTTCTAAACCACCAGGAGCCTGCGCCAGCCGCAGTCAGACACCATGTAATCACTTCCACTATGTTTCCGCTCCTGACTTCCCGCTTCCTTTCCCAACCTCCACACCATTCCCATCGCAGCACCACCACCACATCCCTCCCTCCTCTCAGGGAAGGAGATGGCAACGTCTGCTTCAACCCCAACTACAGCTCACCCTGTGCAGCCGACGGGCATTCCCAGTGCAAAGAGACCAGCGCCAACTCCAGACAAGCACGTCTTGACTGGAGCTGTGGGGAGAGACAGGAGCCATCCCCAGGCTGCTGCCTCTGCCTCTACCTGCTCCTCTGGGGTAGGGATGGGGCTGTCCCTCTCCCCATGCCTTGGGGACTCGGTCACATCTCTGCAGACCTCCCTTCTTACCAGCCCAGGACCACAGGGTGGGCAGGGAAATCACCTCTCACACATCCTTAGTCCCAACCACACTCTTT